TAGGTACAAATATGTTTTTTATTTGATTTTATTATCTGGTAGTTTTTTCTAAGGACATTTTTTCTGATTAACAATTCGGGGTAGTGAGTATTCTGTACTCTGTATCTACATGGTGGCCAGTAAGGTTGTAGCCATTAGTCACACGGCCCGGCGAATAGAATGAGTATAGTAGACGTGTAGTAGATGCATAGGCACTAGGTCAATATTATTGGTGACCAGGAAATGAGTTCAGAGGCCGAGTCGTGTGGCGCTTAAGCATTTCACTTTCGTTTAGGTATGAGTGTAGGTGAATGTTGTATTAAATAAATATTGAACACTGGCCATGAAACGAATGAGTAAATATTTATTCCGCGAGCGTTGCAATAACAGAGTGCCGCCGCGTCAGATGTAATATATACTATACAATATGTACTGATAGCAGTGAGTGGGTGTGAGTGAGAGTGATTGAGAGAGTGGGTGCCGGGTGAGTGTATGAGAGAGAGTGATGCGGGGCCAACACTCTTAAAAACAGATAGCTACAACTTGGACCATCTGTACTCATTTTAATTGCGAGAGAGCGAGAGAGAAGAGAGAAGATAAACAACAAAGAGTTTTGGAAAAAGATAGCAGACACTATACCTAGTCTATCACGCGCACAAGCTATCTCTTTCTAATCCGCGACGTTATCTATTATCACTAAAAACGAGTATTCGACGTTTTCGTATTAAACTATTAAAATTTTAATAATAATATTAATTAAAATAATATTATATCAACAAAAGTGGCAAATATATTTTAACGTAACGTGATACCATGGACCTTTTAATATAGTTTAAGGGCTATGCCTAAAACATATAATATAATATTTTAAGATGCTGCATTAAACGTTTATTGAGTCATCTCTTATCATTTTACATCTTGTGTGTTCGCTTTGGCAAATAGTGCTCACTATTTTACTCACGTCCTTAATAAATACAAAGTGGTTGGAATCACGAACTATATTGACGACGGTACTATAGATTACAATCATGAGCGTATCAAAAGTCCTAAAAAACCTAAGTACAAATAACCTGTGGGAGGCACAACCTCATCTCTCCTTGTTGGCATTAATAGAATTTAGTAGTCACAAGAAGCCAAATAAAATCAAAATTGAAAATAAATCATACAGTTAAAAAGCAACTTCGTCATAAAAAAAAATTTTCAATAGTGAAAAAGTATGTATATAAATTATGAATCTAGGTCAAAATATCCAATATTTAATGTTTTTATAAATAAACACTAACATTTTAAAACTTTATGTATACTCGGTAGTCTGTATGCTCAAATAATATTAAAAAAAATTTAAGTTAAAATATATAATAATTAATTTACTTAGATAATAGATTAGTAGATAAGTAGATACCACTATATTTTCTTATAAAAGGAGCCCAAATTGTGTAAAAAATAAATATATACACGCAGAAATTGAGATGATTTTGTTCATGTGATGGTCAATAGATTATGTATATTATTACACTGAAGCCCGGTTTTTCAACTGGCATACTAACTGCCAGTTAATATAACACTGTAACAGTTACAAAATTGAAATTGTGAAGAAAAAATAAACATGAAATGTATAAAAGTGAAGGTACTCGTTAAAATTACCAATATCAATGAGAATTATTAAATTAAATATCAGTTAAAAAGTTAATCGGAAGAAATAGTAGTAGTTAGTTTAATAAACCTACGGTTTAGCTTAACTGAAGTTCCAAAAATAGTTTAGCTAGTACAATGTTTTAACTGACAGTTAAGATCAATTGAAAAACCATGGCAATAGAAAACGATCTAGGAACTAATCTGGTTTCTATATATTTCTATATTTCCCCCCATCCACCCATGGATTGAGCTTTTAATTTTCGTTAAAAACTACAATAAGAATAATAAAATTACATTATAGTATATAATATTATCAAAGCTCACCAACCTCAGCTAGTGGATCGATGCGCTGTATACATATGTCACACTCACATGATAAAGGTCAAGGTGTGATATTATTGCCATTAACTTACTTAAATTTTAGTATAAGTATTTAATACAGCGTATCTATCTAGATTGAATTAATTTTACAAGTTAATTTAATAACTTAATAGTTGAGCCAATTTTAGTAGAAAGCAAAGTGTTATCTTCTAATTACAAATACGAAGGTTATGTCCTAGTTAAACCGATGATTACGATGACGTCTTGGTTGTAGTCAGTGCTCTAAAAAATGTGGCAAACAAAACGGAGTGGCATCATTGATATAATATGAATATCGAGTGTCCACGATATTTAAGGCAAACCTGTGTTAAAAAAAAATTTACTCGCACTGCCATAATTGGCAATTTGTGGAACTAAATGTGTCCGCTAGTCGAGACTAGTATGCTAGTATACTTTGATCTTTATTGGTACGCAGTATAATATAAATTTAATAATATGTATATGATATTAATATAAACTTATTTGCTATACATTTTTCACCGAACTAATAAAACGATTCCACAAAAATTATTATCAGAATACTTAGGTACAACACATATATAGGTACCACAGCCAACTGTCAACTGTCATTAATTTGTATTTATACATATAATAAATGTATCGGTACGATTAAAATATTTGAAAATATTATTTGCAGTATTGCTCACTGATGAATTTAAAATCGTATGATTGCTTAACAGCTATTTGAATTGTTGCCGTAAAACGTAAGTACTATAATGGCTATAGATTTATGTAGCTGTAAGACGAAGACAACAATTGGTGGTGTCGGTGTGGCGTTCTCTTACGACAGGGTACACTTGCAAACATTTTTATAAATATAATAAATTATAGACGTTTATTTTTGATCATCGTCTATTTGAAGTAACACAGAGTACTGTGAAAATACTAAAAAAAAAAATAATAAGTTATATACATGTTATTTATAAAAAAATCGTGCCTATGATATTTTATATTTATTAACGGCTTAATACATTTTGAAAAATAACAAAATATGAAAATAGTTGTATGAGAATTTGTTAATTAACAGGTTAATATAAAATGACTAACTTCAAACGCTCCAAAAATTAATTTGACTTACAGTTAATTTTGTGTTTTGTTAAATCTATTAAAACTTAAAGGGAATATTGTATATATCTTGAATTTCATGCTTTGACATGACGTGTCCTGTGAGCGTGTGTGGGAAAACAAGCTTCCCCTCCTATAATCACAACATCACAGACACAAGTACTGCATAACGGCCATTTATTATGCACTCGTTGATCTCACGGCCACGATTTGCACGCAGAAAAACTCGTTATTGCCATACAAAACTACTAACGGATCCAACCCACCAACCTGTCATACCCGTTGTTTTGACCACGAACAATGTATTTATTCAACATTTTTCGTTTAGGTTGCGAAGTTGTAATAGTTTATTTAAAACCGGTAGAGATGAGAGGGTCACAATTCTTATTTATTATCAATGTTTTTTAAATATTAGCAGATAAAATTAAAATATTGTTTTCAATACACTTTTTATAACCTTAAATACCTACCTATTTCTTAAAATGAACATTAATTTTAATGATTGCATTAGAAGTCACATCTAGCGATGGCTCTCGAGATTTGCGTTAAGCGATGTACATAATTTTGTAAGATAATATGTAAGGTAGGTGTATCAATAAAAACATTTTTTTTGTATACATATCCAAATAAATAATTGTTTTTTTTAAAAAAAAAGACCTCTAGAATGGTAAAATAAAAATATACCGAAAACCGAGGAAAAAAATTGTGTATAATGTTTTTTTTAAGTCAGTATGGAGTAGCAAAATAAATACACATTTTGTGTGTGTATTAGGCCAACATGTCAGTACACGGAGGTAACATAAGGCGGCCACCCGGTACACAACAAATTTGTGCTTGGTGAAATAATCTAGTTTAGGACGTTCTTATACGTTTTAAATATCAAAATCCTGTCTTCGGATCAATTGATCCATTTTGCAGTGTGAAATATTTTGTGGTTTTAAGCAATATGTGAATTTGTTGACGTGTGATATAACAAGTGTCCCTTCTTATAAACACATTCACCCAACCACAAACAAATTATTATTTACTAAACCTACATCACTAGGGTCCTCAATTCGCTTATAAGAAATTATATTATTGCCTATACAGAACCCCTTAAATTGGTGCAATTCGCATTGATAATGCCAGCCCGCTATTAGTTTTCTCTCTGACCCAAGTGCCACATGGAAAATTAATATTCAATAGAACCAATATTGTGTTGTAACCTTCTGGTCTATTATAAAACTTAAAGTTAAGAACCTTTCCGGTATTTGTACGCTGGCGATATTTTCACGATATTTTAATTCGTTATATCTATTAATATTTTATGTTAGTCAATTTTATTATTAAAATACAAAGCTAGCTTTGGAAAGAAAAAGATAATTTATTGTTATATCCAGTATTCATTGTATTACGTTAATTAAAATCATAGATTAAGTTTAGCTTAAAGGTTACATTTATTGATTGTTGGGTGGTACAAAGTTCACCGGGTCAGCTAGAAAGAAGTATAAGAATTGACAACTGAATCAACTATATTTTGTTTTTTTTTATATGTTTGTCACTCGAAACTATTTTTGGTGATGTTATTTCATCAATTTATTTTGAATCATATTCTGGAGAGTTCAGAAACGATGAGAAACGTTACCTTGGGTTGCGACGTTTCATTCATTTTTCGATGATGTGTGTTTGTGAGCATTGTAACTTTTAAAATACAAAAACCATTATAGTTGCCTCTGTGACATAGAAAGGAGGCGGTGTTTATAATAAATACAGATACAAGATATGGTGAATGTTTAAAAAATCTATTATAAAACGATTATTTTAAATGGACATATCACGTAGGTTTGATATTGTAAAACAGACAAAGGTCAACGCGCGTAGTTTGAGTTTAACCATATTGTGCGGTCAAAAATAATATTATAGCGTTTGATCATTAAAATCAAATTAAATTGTTGTTATTGTTAGTTTTTATTGATATTACAGATATGTACATCTGGACAAGTTTTGGGTTTCTTCTTATTTCTGCAGATGTATTCATTTTTCCATAAACGTGCTGGTGGACAATTTGGAAATGGGATATCCATGCAGCCTATTCTAGTGCAGCAACCAGCATGCTTACATGAATCTTGTAGGCCATTGAGTTTTACACACAAACAATTTTGAATCTGAAAAATAAATTGGATTGCATTGCTAAGTAGTTACTAAGTAGCTAGTAGCTACAGTTACTTAAAATCCCCGGTAAGCAGTCTATTTTATTTTGAAAAATATAGATACGTATATTGTATATTTGTATGTTTATTTATCCAAATTATATAGGTATACATAAATATGCACGGACATAATAGTTTCAGTAGTTTTACATAATACAAGTATTTATTTAATCTTAAGTTTTGTGGCAAAAGGACAAAAGGGTAAAGGGGTAAACATTGTTTAATCACTTCCACTCTTGCCATCATACTAATCACGTGATAATGTAATACCACAAATACACCTTATTTGAAATTATAAATTATGATACACTAAAAGTACCAAACACCGTATCCTGGCCGATTTGTATGCATGCGGGGAAAATCAAAATAGATTGTATTTTGCCGTGTGCATGGCCGGAATATAAATTGCACACACTCTCCCGCACTAGCTATTGGGCATTACATAATTATTAATACGAGTAGTAGCTCTATCGTTCGTAGTCTATTATAGTACTATACTCACTAATCAGTTCTCATACCTACTGCTTATTGTGTATAATAGGTGTAATTAGTGTTTTATATTGGGAGGGGGGGGGTGTTTGAAGCCAACATACGTATTTTCAAATAATCCCAAGTGGTTCTTAAGTTTTTTTTATGGGGATTATAATAGTTAGAGGGGGCTCAGCCTCCTTTATAATTTTTTTAATAAACTTACTTATAACACTTTTATTACTATTTTACATAAGGAAATTAGAAACGGTCAGTTATTTCAATCAATGTATGCCAACATTATACATCAACCCCCAAATCTTCGTTAGTTGCCTATTACCATACACTGTTGTTGTCGATCTTATTAAATTAATGTAGCCGTTAAGTGTTAGCTGGTTGGGAGTGGGGACAATTGAATGTCAAAAAAATAAAAATAAAAATCAATTAATAAAATATATATCTGTAGTAAAAATTAAAAAAATTAAAGTACAATTATAAAAAAATTATTTATAATAATACGCCGATTAGACCAGAATTCGAAAATTAATAAATGTTAAAAATGAATAATTTAGTATTAATTGAAATAAAATAAAATATTTAGGGTAATTCTACGTACATTTTATTTATTCTGGTTTATATGTAAATTAAAAAACCAATGATAATGTGCACAATTCAACTATAAGAGTGGTATCGTATCTTGTCGTACCTTATAGTTTAAAATTTGATATTACTATTTCCAAATTTTATATTAAGTTATACGTAGAATCACCCTAAATATTTCATTTCATTTATAGGTATTTTACAATTTTGATTACAAATTACAATTGTATCAATGTAAATATAAATAATATGAATAACTGATTTCGATATTGTATTTTAACTAATGGTGTATAATAATTTTCGAAATATTTTAACTCTTTACGAGCTATTTATAGCCTTGAGATATTTTTAGTTTTTTTTTAAAAATTATTCTCGATAAAAACTTTTTTGCTCAACAAAATAGCTTAGATATGTATTGCGGGGTTCCTTATAGTTTCATTTATGTAAGTTAAAAATTTTTGAAAGATACATTGGCATGATTATTTTTTATATGCATTTGAACAATAATTATGAATATACTGTACAGCAGAGCGGTACCCTGCACTTGTCTTGTTTTCCTTTTTTTTATTGATTGATTTATTATATTTTTTTTTACGTTCCAACGTCCCTATTTGTGGTTGCAGTTGCAGTTGTACATAGAAAACAATGCACTTAAATAGTCTATAAAGAATATCAATTTACTAGACCAACTGTATGGTATTAACTAGAATATTATACAAACAAAAATAATATTAATTTATGTTCAATAACTTAGTATAATATTTTGATGAATATATGCTTAATTATGTGCTACACTAGTTTATTTATGTGTCATTTAAACTAATTTGTAAGCTTTTAATTTTTAGAAGAAAAGTAATATTATAAAAATGTCCACTCACTAATCTTCCAGTTCTTAAAACGAATTCTTTTCCATAAGGTGTCAATTCGAAATCGTCACAGTCAGCATTTACTGGTTTGCAAAAAGTACCTCTACAAGGTCTAGCTTTTTCACAACAATCGACATAGATCAACGGGGTTGGTGCAACAGGTGATAAAGTACAACATTTGTAAAATTGCCCAGTTTTAGCTGTGGGCTTTGGATATTCACAATCTACTTTTCTGCAGTTATCTTTTACCGGCTCTTGACACATCTTAAATGAAGTCTCAGGCTCCGGATAACATTTCTAATATTGTGGTAAATTCATTTAAGGATCGATATAAAAAAATAAAAGCGGTTTTAAACAATATTTATAAATGCATTTTTAATGTTTAACTATGAATATTGTATAATCTTTTATATTTAAGTATATTTATATATACTTCTCAAAATACTGTTTTTAGCTATTCTTATCCTTTGACAACTTATACATAATATTATACAATAGTTATCTGTTAATTAATGATTATTAATATTTGTAAATTACTGTATTATAGTATAATATAATATATTAAACATATTACCGGCTCTTGACACGTCTTAAATGAAGTATTTCGATCACACGTGGGCTCCATATGACAATTCTGATATCGTGGTGAATTCATTTGAAGGTCGAAATAAAAAATTAAAATTAAAAACCCGGTTTTAAAATATTTTTATTGATGAATTTTTAAAATATGTCTGTTTTAATATAATATTAATTATTTATATGAGATAAAAAAACATACCTATGATGTAATGGAAAAAAATTATTTTTATCAAAATATAAATATAAATTTGTAAATAATATTGCACAATAGTAATCTCTTAATTGAAGATTATAAATAAGTGTAATCGACTATAATTACATGTCCATATTAAAATATTATAAATTGATAATTTTACCGGCTCTTGACAAGTCTTAGATTTAGTATTTTGATCGCATGCCGGCTCCGTGTAACATTTCTGATATTGTGGTGAATTCTTTTAAAAATCAATAAAAAAAAAAAATTCAATAGTTATGTTTTTAACTATTTTGATTGATTGATTTTCGTAACATCACTGTTATATATTATTTATTTATAAAAAAATGAGATATACCTAAGTATGGTGGGAAATAATTTTTCTACAAATAGGATTTGGCCTTTGACAGCATCTAAATAATATTATATAATATAGTAATCTCCTAAATCCTACTTAAAGGTTTTTAATATTCGAAAACTACTTTATAATATTTAACATTTTACCGGCTCAGGAGACGTCTTTATTGATGTATTTTGATTGCACGCTGGCTCCGTATAACATTTCTGATATTAACGTGATTTTTCATTTCAAGGTCGATAAAAAAAAAATTTAATTTAAAAGTTAGATTGTAAACTATATTTATTGAAACATTTTTAAAACTTGTTGGTTATACTTATAATATATTATATTATTTATTTATAAGAAATGAAATACATTCGTAACGTGGAAAATATTTTTCCCAATAATATTGTTTTTAGCTATGCTTTGGCCTCTGACAGCATATAAATAATATCATATAATATAGTAATCTCCTAAGTCCTACTTTTAGGTTATTAATATTCGAAAACGACTTTATAATATTTAACATTTTACCGGCTCAGGAGACGTCTTTATTGAAGTATTTTGTTCACAACCTGGTTCCGTATAACATTTTTGATACTGTGATGAACTCATTTCAAGAACGATAAAAAAAAATTAAAAAAATTAAAAGTTTGATTTTAAACTATACTTATTGATAAAATTTTAAAACAAGACTGTTATAAAATATATTATTTATTTATTAGAAATAAAGTATACATGCGTAACGTAGAAAATAATTTATCGCAAGATATTGTTTTTAGCCATAATGCTTTGACAATTAATAAATAATATTATACAAAAGTAATCTCTTAAATGTCTTAATCAAATTCAATTAATATTTGTAAATTACTATATTATTAAACTTAAAATGTATAAGGTATACAATAAAGTACTAATACCTAAAATTTTAAGTTAATTTAAGATGACATTTTAGTTCAATCCATATTTAACCGGTAACTGTCCAGAGGGCTCACTGGGGTCATATATTATTACTAAATCTAGGTATTTATTTGTCTTGTCATTTGACACTTTTATTGTATTATACAAGAAGTCCCATCACTGGATGGATTCTTCGCTCAAGTCTTCAGTCACTTTTATTAATCTATTTCAACACTTACGCTTATTGTAAAAATTATATATTTACAGATTGTGTAATAAAGCTAATTAAAAACAAAAAAAAATTATTGTATTATTATTGTTTGTTTCTATTCTTAAGTCCGAATTTTAAGCCCGTCTGGCTATCTCGGCACCAAATTAATGTACTTTTTTTTACATAAATATTGTGTCATGAGTTTTTATTTAATTAACATTAGTATTATTATCTGTTTTCTCTTGCTGTCCCGAGATATATTATATGTACAAAAATCCACAATGCTGTATTATCTGCTTACCACGGTGTGACGTGTCATTCGGTGTGGCGCTTCACAAGTCATAACACACATCATCGAATAAACAACGATGATTATTTCAAATTATCGTTGTTAATTTTAAACGCTTTTTCATTTTTTGCTTACTGAATTTAACGTAAGACAATAACTATCCGCTTATATTCACTTGAATGCATTATAAATATTATTTATTATTATTATTTTTGGTAGTCTTTACTTTTTAAACAAAACACTTAAGTGAATAGAAAATAATGTAATGCTGTTATCAGGTATATAAGGTTGGATTTGCCCTGGGTCTACTTTGTATGATAAAGGGTCAATTGTGCCAAATTATAATGGAACAGTAGCGCAGTTGGTAATTGGGTCACATAATTTTATCTACCTGATTCGTATACAATATTTATTATTTTATAACATTTTATTATCCGGCCACAAATATTAAACACGCAAATATACGAATACATAATATTAATTACTGTAGGTAAGGTACCTACTGGCTACTAATATAATTATTTTAATATTTAAAAAAACAAAAAATATGAAATATAATTAGTCTTGATACAAAGGTACAATTAATTAAATAAGTATTAAATTTTTTTTTTCATAAAAATATTAAAATGTATTATGATTATCTCTATAAATATATTTCTTCTGTCTTAGGTATGGTAAATCATAGAATGGACATGATGGTAGAAATTCGATGCGGTAATGGGTAGTGGGTACCTGCTTAGGTAGCTAATAATGATAAACAATGACAACTATAATAGGTACCTATGATTCAATATCGATTGCAATGAACGACCGAAAACTGTAGTAAGTATAGTGTTATCGGAATCGACGGGAAACATTCAACTTGGACACAGTACGGCGTCTGATATCGTTTGGACACGAATCAGTAATTTCCTATCTACTACTCTTAACGACGCCGACGTAGTTGGTCTATAACGATTATAGTCGAAAATCGACAATTAATGATATTTTATGACGAAAGGACTTTGGCAGAGGTGTGAAGGGGTCAAGTCATTCGTCGAAGCCGCAGTCGATAAAATAAATGTTGATAGGCATACGAATAATATTTTAATATTTTTGACGTTCCTAAAGCCTTAACCTGGTAGAATACTAAAATGAATAAAATAATTATCTCTCTCACTCACTCCTCGGACACTGAAGTTGATATTTGATAAGAAGGGCCGCGCGTACCTGATAACCATGAACTGAGATAATCGTCGAGTTGTGGGACAAAGTCTCAGAAATTCGAATATGTGGCCGACAGATGGCGCTCGAGGTGTGTCAGCGTCGCTGAGGAATACTGATTGCTAGGCCGACCTGTAGCCTGTAATTTGTTGTACTGTTGTACAATAAAATTCGTTATCAAAGAGGTGAATGTTTTCCAAGGTTAGTAGAATATACTATAGAATATTATATATCAGCTGTGTATGGATTTACTCTGTTTATCACGTGATAAAAAAAGTTGCAGGAATTCCGAGGATTTTCAGGTAGAGATGGCAGGAAAAACGAGGATTTTTAAGCATTACCTCAGGATTTCAATATTTTTTAAATGGCAACACTGGTAGTCTGTACGGCTGTACATTTTTGGTTAGCCCGGCCGGCCGAACGAAGCACTGACCCGTCGACCACCGACTTCAAAGATGGCGGACTCAAACGAGTGCAACTCTCCGAAAACGATACTACAACAACATCTTGATTCGAGAACCGAGTCTCTCGAATTGGCAGAGCACAACGCTTTTGCGGATCGTCGAAGATTTATTTTGAATAGCCAGTCTAAGTCTAAGTCGACTGGGGAATTTGGTAGAAGTGGCGCCTTCAAAAATCAACCATTGACGTTGGAAAAATCTAAACCTCTGGCGTTTCAGAAGGTCATAACATGGTCTTGTGTTAAAGGTCAGATTCACAGATCTACGAAGCATAATCAGTCGAGTTCTACGAGTTCCACGAGTTCAAAATTACCAGTCAAGATGAAGCGATCCCAGCCGACGGAAACTGTTTTGCAGAAAAAGATGAAAACATGGCATCCATTGGTGAGATGGAACTTCGGGATCAAAACTTCGGCAAATAATACGGTCATATACGATCAGGCAGGTGCGATCGCTACGCTGTTTGTTCCTACACAGGATTCACAAGGTATGGATGAACAAGTGGTTTACCCAGAGGGTTCATCTGCTGATAGATCTGGCTATCCAGAATATACTACTTTATGGATTCCCGATTAAGTTGACAAAACTTCAAAAAATACTTACCACTAATTTGTGTTCAAAGGAATAGGTAAAACTGTTCCTTACAATAATGTCAAAGACTTGTAAAGATCTGATTTCACATAATGTACTGCCAGAATTCACATTTAAGGTTTCCAGAAATGGATCATTTTTTCTTTCCAAATTTATTTGCTTTAAATTACTTATCTATCATAAAGTTACATCAAGGACGTTATACCGGCATGTGTTGTCTCTCAGACCCATACTTGTAGATAAAACTCATTATATACATTTGTTTTTAATGCTTTTTGAGTAATTTAAGAGTTAAATCACCTATTGCAAAAATTAAATAGAATAATATTTTTGAGGATTTGACATTGGTATTGGTTTTTTGTTTTATAATTATGTAACATAAAAAACAAAACAAAATGTTATAATTTAAATCAATATTAAATTTCTTTAGGACAATATTTAGACAAATCCATATGTTAAGCCCTCAAAAATACAACTATAATTTTTGTTATGGGTTATTCTACATAATTCTTGCACAATTATGTATAATCATGCGTTTTGTCTATGTTGCCAGTGGGCCAGAGAGAGTAAACAAACAGTGCGTTTTAATTGACATCCTCTTCACAGCTAATCACTTAAAGTATGAATTATAATGTTAGGTTTTGTAATCGATAAGTATACTAGCTGGCAAAACAAGGTATTTCAATGTTATTTCAATTAAGTACAATCCTGATAAATAAATATTTTTTTAAACTAAACTACTAAATGTAAATTTTTTTTTTTACTATTATACTTTAGGTATTGAATGATGAATTAAAACATAAAAGTGCATTTATTTTAACATAAAATACATTTTGGTACTCTACAATTATAAAGTACAATTTTATTTTTATAATTTATTGTTAACTGAAATAAAATGTTGTAAAGATATTATATAAACATGTAATAGTAATACTAATAATCGTACTTGAAGACTTATTTGAATTAATTTTGTAACTTGTAAAATAGATAAAGCATAAATAGATTGCATACTAATACTATGCATAAAGTATCTACTATTTATAACAGAGATGGTAAATCTTAAAAATTAAATAGTTAAATTTTATTTTCTCTGTATCAATTAATGTCATTTTTTTAACTTAAAAAAATTGCTTGTTGCTAAATAGTATACAATGCAAAATATCAACTCTAATTATATAACAAAATAATTTTAATATATTACTATCTTCATGAAAAGTTAACGCTTGTTACTTAAAACATGTCATACGTTTGCCATCTCTGATTTATACAATTTTTATTAATAAAATACAATACAATTGTTTGTACTCAATAAAATTGTTCTATTCTTAATGCAGCTATAGACCAGTCTTTGCAATATGTATTTTACACTGTTAGCTCAATGTAGGTATTTAACATTTTAAATTTGTCAATATTTACTATGTATTTTTGTTTTCTATCAATATCTAATGGTTGTGTAAACACAAGGTTAATGATTTATTTTGTATTACTATTCATTTTTTCAATAAACTCAAATAATAATATTCAATTTAATTACTTACTGTTAAGCAAGCATTATAGTCTATAAGTTTCAGAAATATAGTTTTATAAATGTTAGTGATGCAGAACAATGTTGATATTAAACCAATATTTTGAAATTAATGTAACTAAATACATCGATTTTTGAAAAATGATGCAATCTCGATATAAATATATTAGATTTACATATCTTATGTTTTGACAGCAAATTTAACAATTTAGATATTTATTTAACTATTGAGTAAATGCCTATAAGTAGCCAAATATTATTTAATATCATTTATGTTCATTTTTTTTCTATTTATCATATTTTATTTTTTACTATGTAAGTAATAAATATAATATAAAAATAATACATTTAAAAAACATTTTGTTAAGAGTACAAAAAATTGCCTATTTATATATAAAGATATGATATCCAAAAACATTTTTAGCTGCATCACACTTATAGATGAGGCTAGACAAAGTCACATTTTAATTATTATATTCATGTAAATTTTTTAATTGAACCTTTTAACTAATATTGATATGTATATAAGTAAAAGTTAAGGATAAATACATATAATTTCAGTACACCTATAGAAAAAATATTATTCTTTGCAAGCATTTGCTTAAAAAGTTATTAGAATACAATAAACAATTTTTATCTACAAATTGAGTTTTAGTTATATGCCAATTACCTACACTGATATTTAGAGAATCTGTTTATTAGAAGTATCAATAATAACTAATTAGTAATTATTGCAACAAAATAAAAATGTTAGAAATGTATATAACAAAGTTGAAAATAGTTGCAAACTCATTAAAAAAACAATGGCTTGTACACGGATGGGTTCGAGTTCAATAAGTAACATCAAAAAAAAATTAATAAAGTACAATTCAACAAAAAGTTTATTAAAATGTAGGTATGTATAAAATGTATCTATTTTTAATTTAATGTTATTTACATACTTTTTATATTCCTTATGAGTTATAAGTTATAACTTAGTTCAGGACTACCTACTCTATTTTGTGGGCCGATGGTCGGCTTTTACAGGGTGGTTATAGGCCCCCTCATATGTATAAGTAATTGTAATGTATGTGTATTTGGCAAATAAACGACACGGAACCGGGTGGCAGAATTGTGCTAAACAGTTCCCATCCGTTTCCGGTTTTTTGAACAGAAAAAAAAAGAACTACTTGCTCTAAAAGTCCTTAAAATATGTAATTAAAATTAAAAAAATTAGAAGATAAAAGTGTTAAGATGTTAAATAATTTAAAATTAGTAGCTATTGATAATTTATTGATTTTAACTGCTTAACCTAATTTAACTTATGAAGATATTGATTAATGCAACTAATACTTGAAATTGTAAGTCATTTTAACAAATAAAATTAAACAACTAAGCTAAAAAAAAATGAAAAAAAAAAATTATTTTGATAATTATTACTAGTTACTAATTATTAGGCAGCGTACATCAGATTAACTGGGATACAAAATAATGATGGCCGGTATACATACAAATATACTAAATGACAATTCTTCATGCTTCATGGTTTCTATTTGCATAGTTGTCAAAACTCAAATATTAATCGACTCATACAATTTTAAGTAAAAATAATTTATTTTGGGAAATTTTTTTCATTTGAATTAAGACTTAAAAGTCAAGGGGTTTTCTTATTCAAAGTATGACGTAGTTACAACACTATAGTATTTTAAACTTAAAAAATTGTTTTCTCAAGCTTACATAAAATATTAAGCACCTCAAAAATATAATAAATATAAATAATATAAGATATAATAAACATATTTAATCATTATTGTGTAAATGTAGAAATAACTATTAATGATATTATTTCTAACAACTTTGATCACTTCAGCAAGATTGTTTCAAACAAAAATTATCGCATTAATGAATCTATTTTTCTAAATACTATTGAGCCAATTTAAAAATCAAATGTAATTAAGAAAATAAAGATTTTTCCTCTGTTTATGAAAATGGTATAACTAATCTATTTATTTGAACCAATACCTGAAGAGTTTTCCTTCCAGTATTCTAAATACTTTAATACTTTCTATTGCCTGATTAAAAATATCGATATAAAATCTATTGAGCATATAAAATTTATAACTTATTATTATTATAATTATTAATGCTAATACAAACTAATTTAAAAACCTATTTTCTAATCCTTTTCTATTTACAAAAATACTTATTTTTTTTTCTAAGGTGGTATATGTTTATGTGCCTATTTACACAAATATAAGTAATTTAAAGCTCTTATTTGACGAGCCGTTGGTATAAACAATTATCTTTAATTGTATCAAGAACATACAATGGTGAACAGTACAATATTATAAATGAAAATTGAATGTTTTTTTATTGAAAATTACAATTTTATTTTTCCTTGTCCTATAAATATAATTTATTTTATAGATAAAACAAATCAAAACATTTGGAGGAGCAGATATTTCTTAAGACCTACTTGCAGAAATTATTTTCAATCGAGCTATGTACACAAATGTCTTTTTCTAAGCATCATTAAAAAAATGTTCTACTTCAAAGGCCTTAATCAAACTCCAACTTTTACAAGTAATATGTTACTTTTTTTAGATGTTGGAAGAGACTGTTACCTGAATTATGCAGATGTTACTGTTCAAAAATCTGTAAGTGGTTGATTAGGTCACTCAACAGATGGACTATATAGTGACTATATAATATAACATATAATATATGACTATATAGTCAGATTCAAGAAAAAAAAATGTTAGATTAAAAATTAGCTTTTATTTATCATTAAATAAGTACAAGAATAACACCTATATAGTATATAGTATTTAATAATAAATATAACAATAAGTTATTCAGAATTGAAATTACTAAGAATGTGTATACAGATATGGTAGGTATAGATCACCTTATTGTGCAGTATGAAATGTTGAGTTTCTATTAAACCGTTACCAAGACCTTTCATTACATTTTGTATTTTGTGTAATTATTGGTTAATTATTGGTTTTTACATAATATAAATTATTGTAAGCAATATGGGGGATAGAGGTGGCAAAGCCCTTTTATTAATTAAGAGGCTTCAATAATTGTAGTATTAGGAACTGAAAGACCGGCAAAATGTTTATTTCAATTACTTTTTGTTCTGAACACTGGTAACAGCTTGTTGCGGCTGTACTTGAACTTGTGGTTTTAATTTAACTTTAGTAACTGGCTAATATTGTTTTGATGGTTATTCGTCCTAATATATTGTCAAATCGAAAATAGATTGTTCCAATTTTCCATGTTTCTGCCATTTTGAACATCCTGGCCTAGGTTCTTCTATCGACTCTGTGGATTCTTCAAGATCATCTATTTCAATAACTGTATTATCAATACTACTATTCTTGTTTTTGGTGTCTTTACACTTTTCAGGTATAAACCATGAACCATTATCCAAAAGGCCGATTTCCTTGATGTCGTCTCGAAGTGCAAGTTCTTCAACAATTTCCAAAAAATAACCATCTATTCGAATTTCATCATACAAACAAGATTCATGACACGTTGGGCATATCCATTTGGGATTTTTCTCGTTCATTAGAATGAATGTAGCGGCATCAAAACACTGTAAATGATTACAATGGATAGATTTTGCCGGCAGCTTCATTTTAACTGTACTCAATTGACACACCAAAGAAAAACCAAAAGATGTAGATGCCAAATCTGGATCGACAAATGTCAACTTTTTAATGATATAATTTTTTGTCTCATCTGAACTCCTCACTTTATTAACACGAAGTTCTTTTATCAAAGTATCTGCACTTATTTGTTTTACAATATACATTGCCAGGGCGTATTTTTTCCCATCAGGAATCCAATATATAGTGATTCTGTTTGGAGAAATTGGATTAAGCTGTAAAATCTGAGCACAATTGATAGGTCCAGAAGTTAGTCTAGACTCTTTTCCTGGTCTTGCCGGGAGAAAAGGTGGCAATGGACAAGCAGTACCATTGATTTTAATAATAAGTCCTTTGGGCAACTCATCAGTTACCTCAGTACTCACAATTTGATCCAACTGACAAATTCGAATCTGACAGTTGAATAGGTAATTAGATTTGCCATAGGAAATGTCACGATTCAATGCAATATAATTTAAATCTTCAATTGACATAGTATATTTGAATTCGTGTTCTCTCGTACCTGAAATAAAATAAATATTATAAATATAATTAACAATATAGTAATAAAAAATATTTTGCTACCTTCAGGACATTTTGATAAAATACATCTACTTGTATCATCGAGAAGAGTTGGTTTGATTATATCTTTTATAACTTCATAAAATGGTAGCTTTGTGAACTTGTAATTGGCTACAATTTGAGGAGACGGGATGGAAGCAGAAGCATTACTGTTTCCACTAGACGGTGAATTCAAAACAAGGTTTGATGTATTTTGTTGATTTGTGGGCAATTGCGGTTGAACAACAGTTTGTGGTCTAACTGGCTGATAACTGCCAGGTGCATACTGAATGTGATTGTTAGCCACAGTATTTCTAGAAAAAATTTTTGCACCTGTAGGGTAACCACGTGCGAGTCCTTCTACTTCCGACGGAAACTGTGGTAATCTAGCACGGGGCACTTGCACTGATTGTTGAGGGTATCGTCGTCGTCGGTACGTTCTTTCTTGATTTATAGAATGGTACATATCAAATATTTTTGATAGATATGCCATATGGTTAAGGTTAGCCGGCTTGGAACTTATTAATTCCATTGCCCGTCTTAGTAATTCAGTTCTTCGTCCTGCCATACTTTGTCCGAAAGTTCTTAAAAGGAATTTCAAATGATTAACCCGGAATTGAGCCAGCATGTTTCTACAAGTCTCATCATGGATATTACTCATCGTCACTAAAAACAAAATTAAAAAAAATTTTTATCTTTTTTATTAAATGTAGTTTTCATGTTAAAATAATAAAATAAAAATATTGAATCTGCTTTAAAATAAAATATGTAATATGGGTTACTAATATCTTATATCTGTAATCTTTTTAGATTCTTATTAAAATAAAATGCAGTAACCTGATAAAGAACTCATATGGAGGGACTTACATTTGGAAGCTTATCCACAGACTATATGAAAACCATAGGTAAGAACCATCTAGAAAATCATTCAATCAATGATTTAGAATTCTTTAACACAAAATTATTTTAAATCCTAAACATTCACCCAGCTTCGTATTAATAATAATAACATTTACGAAATAATTACGATAACAACTGTGGATTTGTTGGCCCCTTTAAAATGCGTCATTGACAGGCGCGGACTGGCTGCGGTGCTATCCTTATAAATGTGCCTTAATACTCCACCCAACATGAATGTGAATTTTGAAGGCGAAAGTTACAATTCTACGATAAAGTTGTACGTAGATCTATTATTTAAATAATAACTACAACAACCATAAATAATACATTTAAAGTAGGTACCTAACCATTAATTAAATAGGTTAATCTGTTTAAGTAGCTTTTCATGCATATTAAATTTACAGTATATTAAATTATTATTAACACAATCTTCATAAGCGGCACTTGGCCCTATTTGTGGGGGTTGGGCAAAAATTATTCACAATGTACGGACCCATTTAAATTGATAAATTTGCTCCTCGATTTCTGGAGGGAAACTGCCTTCTCGAGACCCACACAAATAGTTTTATTAACTAATACTACTTAATAATGAACCAAAATAAGAAAGTGATTGAAATCAGTTATTTCTGTAATTACGGAATTAAACAATTATTTTGCTAATCTTTTTAGATCAACTGAACATTGTTCAACGACTAATGTTCATGGATCATAGCATAACAAAATTATTGTAATGATCAGTAAAATAGTAAAATATAATATCATTTGAGTTTGTGGTTATTTTTTTGTTTACGTCACGTCGTCTATGTTTTAAAAACACAATTGACCAATTTATTGAGTAAAATTAAAGTAATTAAAGTAATTTATTAAACAAAATTGTATTGATTCTTTGAGTTTTGACATACAACACTGAACACACAGTACACTAGTACAGTTCTCTACATAATGTGTGTCTCTATGTAAATTGGGTACTTTGTTTTCAATGCATTATTTTTAAAATTAGATCAATTTACAGAATTTATTTCTAAAATATGGGGAAGACAAAAAATAAATTGAAAAGTGGTAGCCAAAATATAATAATTAAAGAATACAAGTTATTAAAATTAGTTGCAAATGGCAAACATCAAAAGAAATTGTGTTTTGATCCATCTGTACCATCTGTTAGTATTGCATTTTCTAATACAGTACAGTGCTCATCGAATTCTAAAAATGTTGATTGTGATGAGTTCTTAAATTATGAAAATCAAATAGAAGAAAAAGAAATAATCAATGAGACATCTGTATCAAATGTAGAACCTATTGCATTAATTCATTCAATACAGTGTTCATCTGGAGCAATAAATGAAGAAAATGAACAAGTCATTGAAGTTGGAAAAGAAAAAGTTTATGAGGAAGCAAAAAATTGCTTAGAACCTATACAACCTGTTTCACTCTTTCCCTCTTTGTCAAGGTTAAAACACGTATACAAATAAAATTGGTGATTCTGATTCTGAATCAATATGTGTAGACATTGGAATAGAATATCAAAATATTAAATTTAATTTTGAAACACATTTTGATGCTTTTGTATTTGTACCTTCAAATAAATCTAAATTAACATTTTTAAAGTACCTACCATCCTATTCAACTAATTGTTTCAAATAATTCCAAAGTTAAGTTTGATCCTAGAAACATTTATATAAATATGACAAATGGCGATATTGTTGAAAGAAGATGGATTTCACATTGTGCTTTTACTAACAAAATATATTGTAGTACTTGCATTGCATTTTCAGTCAATTTATTAAATGCATTTGTTAATGGTTTAGTAGTTAAAATTAAAAACATTTATTTAAAAGTTCAGAAGCATGAAAATAGTGCAATACATAAAACTGCAAGTGAAAGTTATTTAAGAGCTTGTAGTAATAAAAACATAGATGTCATACTGGAAAATTTTCATAATAAAGAAGTTGAAAAAAATCACAAGGTTCTTGATAGGATAATAAGCATAGTAATTGTTCTTGCTAAACAAAATTTGACTTTTTGTGTACATAGATATGAATCTATTAATAATAATGCATGGTAAAGTATATTTTTTGTTACTTATTTTTTGCTTGAATTCAGCAGTTTTCAGGGTTCAATTTTTAAAGATTTTAGTTTGTCTTGATAAATTTATTATATTTATTAATATTATAGTTATTGTACTGGAAGTGAGCATGAAAATATATAACTGAGATATAATATGAATATTGCTCTTAGATAGCTGGTATTCGTCTCTTAGTATTTTTATTCAGTCATATATCTACTACTTACCTATATTGCAATAGCTAAAATCAGATTTATGGTATTTTCAAGGTAATTAAATATAATAGTTGAATGTGTAATAACTAGAGACCGGATTCTCGTGCAATTGCAACTTTTTTTCCTTTGCTTTATAACATATAAAAATAAATTATAAATCCGAATCATGAGAAGTAGATTAATTTAAACGTAGTTTTATTTTGGACAAAATTGCACGTTTTTGATTTTCGCTGCATGAAATTGCATATTCTGCATTTATAAAATTAAACTAGATAATATTTCAGTTTTCAACTATACAAAAAGAAAAAGTGAACACAGGCTAATAATATTGTTAGAATAACATCAATTTAATAGTGTTTCGTGGTAAAAATAAATGACATCAACTACTAGTTAGATAATAATTTGGAATCCCCAGCCATTAGCACTTTAGTTCTGTTTGATTGAGGGTTTCTTAAATCGATTAGTGTAATTCACGTCGTTGTCGTGATTGTTTCATAACAAATAATTTACGTAAGGAAGTATAAACAAATTTTTAAAATGCCAAAAATTGGGAAATTTATCCCTCAATAAACAAATTGAAATACTTGAAACTATAGGAGAAAGTCTTAAAAAAATTACAACGATTGCATAAATGGTACGAAAAATATTAATGTTGAACAACAGCCTGCAATCATCACTTGCTATAAAATGAGTCCTATCACTTCTGTTGAAGTAGAACAAACATTTTCCAAATTAAAAGACATATTGAGTGATAGAAGGCACAATTTTTCTGCAAACAATTTTGAAACGTATACCATTGTAATTTTAACTCAATAAAAAAATAAATTTTTTTATGTATGTATTATAGTTAAAATTAAAATTAAATAGCTTAACTCTGTTGGTATGGTTTTTTTTACACAATGTTTAATCGCCCATTGTTGGAAAAACATTTTCAATAAAAAATAGTTTTCCCATTAACGTCCACATCCTGTCCAGCCACTTACTGTTTATATTGATAATACGTTTTATGTAAATAAGTAGTAATGTTGTAGTAAACACAATTATGGAGAAAACAGAAACCACTGTTTCTAATTGTTATAAATTAAATTATGCACATTGATTTCTGAGGATATTCTAATATTATTTATTTTATTGACTATTTTATCAGAATCACAAAATCCTACAAAGTAAGACACACCAAAGTATAATATTTATGTCAAGTGTACTGTGTAGTTAATTTTACAAAATTGAGTAGGTTTTATTATAATTGTTTAATTTTGTAAATTAACTACATAGTACACTTTACATAAATATTATATTTGTTGTCTTACTTCGTAAGATTATATATGTATTATATTTTTCTACTCTATTTTGCAATCATATTTCCATAGGGACTAGATGCTGTAGTAGAATAGTAACATGATAACTGACTTTGCTGCATCTTAATGTAATTATTTAAATTTAAACAAAAATATTCTCTTGAATATTTAATGGAATGTAAATTCTTGTTTAATGACTGAATTAAAGACATAAAATAGAGAAATCTAGTTCAAATAGTGTGTCAAAACAGTCAAAACAAAAAAAAAAAAACAGTTATCAATATGTCATTCTACTGAAAACTCGGGATTTAAGAGGAAATGTTCAAAACATTTAGTGGTACCTATATATTTGCATATTAGTATTACCTATTAATTTACTCTCAAAACATTAGTTAATTTTGATGACAAGGTATACACACAAATAATTTTAATTGAATTCCATTTATTTATACATTTTAAATTAAACGTTGTAGAAAATTAATATAACATGATAATATCTTCTCTATACTTAAAGGAAAGTTACTTTAGCAATAATTAAGGCAGAGCCGAACCTTTTGAGTATCGAATTGAAATTTTAAGGATGGATTAATATTATAATGTCAAATTCCACTAAGAAAGGATTTTTCAAAATTTTGATTTTAAAGGATTGAAATTGTCAAAAATAAATCGTACAAATTGTATATCTATAGTATAGATTCTATAAGTATACATATTTTACAGCACGGTGAATTGTGGGTTTCCATAACTTTTTGTCATAACTATGTGTTTGATCAGCGTGTAGATATGAATTGTTCCCAGAAGTAAAATTCTACAATCTATCTAACTATATCTATCTATGTATATAAAAATAAATCCCTATTTCCTTTAGTCGAGGCATCACGCTTATAGTTTATCATTTAAAATAGATCCATCTATCTTCTATCTATGATATAAAACAGTTAATTTATAATTTCTTAGTGCTCATTTCACAATGGAATCAATCAGAAGATTAATGAAAACTTTAAAAGTAAGCTTTTTGATAAGTGTTTGTTCATCATGGTTAGTTTAAGCAAACACCCTTCAAATTTAAACAAACACAAGTCACCTGAGGGCCATCGTGCCATACAATATTGAATATGTGTATAGGTATACAATTTGCACGTTTATTTTAATTAATAACTAATTTTCTCTGCGATTTTCTTGACTT